TYATGTAGTCTGGTTTTTAATTTGATTTTCCTGTTTTTCCCTTGTCTTCAGTAAGTGCAGCTGAAAAAGAACAAAATCAGTTTAAGGCTTCTGAATTCGGGGTGGCTCTGTTTAGTTTTAAAATAAGAGCACCAGCTGCCAAGCTATTTGTCTTCACAGTATGTATGAATTAGAAATACATAATTTACACAGAAATAAAAGCAGATACCTCACTTGGTGTAATGAACATTTCCCCCCTCTGTTTTATCTGCACAGGAATAAACTGTTCAGTTGAAGTCATTTCTCCCAGATGCGAGTGCAGCTGCTGAGTTTTCTTGGGAGTCCTGTGGATTTGGTTATATCCCCCGTTAATGCAGAGCGAGCAGTTCAGTGCTTGCTCCAGCCCAGCCTTACCACAGCGCCGCCTCCTTCCACATTTCATCATTTCTCAGACCTCCTTCCAGCAAGAGACTGACCAAGTTTTGCTACAGTAAATAACTTAGTTCTGATGGAAACAAATTAGGGATAATCTCACCTTTCAATGGGGTATATTGTGTGTGTGTGTGTGTGTGTGTGTGTGTGTGTGTGTGTGTGTGTGCGCGCGCTGTTTTTGTGGAATACTAACTTGTATCATCTTTAACTCGGCAGTGAGCATGGTGGGAGAGTTAAAAAGGCAAGGCCTATGTTATCCCATGGCCTGAGCCTCTGGTTTGGTGACGACGGGGAAATAGAATAGCACTTAGAATAAGCAAATAAGGAAATAAGCTGCCTGGTTGCATAAGGAAATTCGGGGTTTTCRGTAAACATCTTGTGTACTGGGATAGGAATCATTTTGATTTCTGACACTTCTGTGCTCTGCACAAGCAAGGGTTCAGCATGCAAGCAGTGTCTGTCCATTGCAAATTTCTTCCTTGCCACTAAATCAAGTTGTATGTGATTTGTTATATGCACAGCGAGCAGGTAATGGCAGTGCTCATATGTTGGGAACGGCGCTGAGTTGCACAGCTGTGTTGGAGCACAGACTGGCAGTTGAACCTTCAACCCAGCCAGGGACTGTGGAAACTCTGCTGTGTGTTTGTGGTCTGAAACCCARCCAAAACCCCAGCAACAGTAGCAGCTAACAAGTAGAAAGTGCAAATCTTCCCTGTGGGGTATTGCTCAACATGAGGTAAAAGATTAGATGGTAAAGGCTATGTTATAAAAACATAATGCCAATTGTAGGTCATATCTTATGCCTTTGTCTTGCTGCTTTTAACTAACTAGGAGGAAATGACTTGTCTGAAAAAGCCTTAAAGGGAATAATTTTGAAATTGCCTTGATTGTTTACCTTATAACGTATCTTTAAGTCTTATAGAACAGTTGCTATTACTGTTTCACTCAGTTAGAAAAATTGTCCTATATTTTTCTATCCATTTATATAGTTTTGTGTCCTTTTGGCCAAAAGATGTGCGAGTAAAGAAAAGGACAAGCTAAGCCAGTCTTGCAAGGTTATGGTCAGAAATTCCAAGCCGTCAGTAAGATGTTTCAATAGGATACCTAAACTTCTGTTCAGTCATCTATAAAAGATAGGATGACAGGTCCAATGAACTATAACAAATATAAATGGAAAATTAAAAACTTAAGCCTACTGGAAGAGTGGTTGTATGTAGGTTATTATGAAATAATTATTAGTGGGATTGGTAAACTACCAGTCTGCTTGGATGAGGTGCTATTTCCCATTCCCCATGCACTCTATGCAGCCAGTGAATACTTCAGATCCTTATGTACCAGCCTGTTCTAATACTAATATTTTTGATCTCTTTACAACTAACACAGCACAGTCTAGRAAAGCACATGCATTGGTGAAGGACCGTGTTTCTGGGGAAGAATTACAACTACACAGCAGTTGAGCACTTCAGGTTCAGCTCCTCTTGTGTTTTCCACGTGCTTGTTTTCAGTGTGTGTCACGCGGTGAGGATGTTTGGGCTGCCTGTAGTGTGTGCGGAGTTCCCCAGGTTTAATGCAGTTTCCTGAGGAACTGGGACATTCACTATCCTTGTAAATAAACTTTGAACCATTGTTGGTGTTCCTGGCATCCGTGAGCATCTTCTGTACTTTGCATTTATGGTGATTTTCATGTTGCTCTGAAGTTCATGATATTGAGCAGGTGAGATGATTCTGAGGTGTGTGTATTAGCAGATCATCTACATTATGTGCATTTGATACAGAATAAATAATGCTAATTTCTAGCCCGTGATTGACACAGTTATATTCAGGGTTTTCTTGAGTTAGTCTAACAGCAAAATTTGTCAGGTCTTCCGGAACTTTCTTCTTCCGGAAAGACTTTGAACTTTTTTTTTATGAAGAAAAAGAACAATTTGGCATGCAGAAATTATCATCCATACTAAATACATTTTTTTTATTATTACAGTCATTAKCATGCATGGAGTTTTAAACTTCTTGGTTAACCTAAAAGAGAGTTCAGAATTAGATCTGGTGTATGTAGTAGATTTGCTTAGTAAACTATGAAAAAGGCCAATTTTTGGATGAGCTTGTTTGACCAATGCAGAGAATTGTGCATAGGTGACAGTGAGGATTGAGGCTTGTGAGGACGGTGCTATGTCAGGGAGGCCGCTTAACCTGCCTTAGCTGAGAGCTGAAGTATAAGGAGTAATTATAACTTAAGTTAAAAAGAGGAAACTTACAGTATAAAAAAAGCAATATAAATATAACTACCGTGTGTTTGGCATTCCAAAACCTTTGAATTATTCATGTTGCACTTTATTTGATTGCTTTTGATGATGTGCATGTGGTTATTACATGTGTGGAGAGTGGCCTTCTGTTGGAAAATATGCATGTTAAGGACAGTAAATATTACTTAACTGACTCCATGATATATATACCCTCCTTGCTTATTCCTAAATACACCTCCCTGAAAACTATCCCCAGTAGCCATTCAAATCTGTTGCTGAATTAGTAGCTTGTTTCTGCATTGTTTCCGTTGTGGTTTCTTCTTGCAGTGCATTTGCTTTATTTATTCTCGTGGTGCTGGAACATTATTTGAAGTTACTACGGCAACCTGTCACCCTCTGCTATTATAAAGTGTGCTGGGATTTAGTTGCTAGGTGCTGAAGTTTGTCATCTTACTCATATGACTCTAATATTTTTAAGATGTTTCTTTTGCTGTAAGAGTTGCATCTATAGCTCATATGCACTTGAATAGCAGTGTAGGGGGGCTCTTTTGCTGCAGGCTCTTTCTGCCTTGGCCTCTGCCCCATTTGTTTCCCGGAATGCACCTGTGATCSCTCTTGATGTCCACAACCAAAACAGTTGGGGTTTTTAGTCCATAGTTTGCAAGGTGACTGCTAAAGCCAGACAGTGTTGTTCTTCACTGAACTTTGATATTAATCATGCTTTTTTTGTTTGTTTGTTTTCTTAGCTCATGGGTAGTTTAGCTGCTAAAGAACAGATCTCCTCTGTGTCTCATTCGCTGTTTACACTGTATTCTTCCTAGTGACAAAAGTACAGTGTTTATAGCATCTATTTCCTTATTTCTTCACATAGTCTTTGGAAGGCTGTCAGCCACTTGGTTAATTCTGAATTCAGCACTGTTTCCTATTCATGAAGTCTTTTAAATTCAAATGCAACTGAATGTTATAAATTTGAAAATATGTGCCTATTACAGCTTCTGTTCACAACAGGGCAGTATTTCCAAGGAGAGCTTTTTCTGCTAATGTTTCTGTTAGTATTCCCTTGTTAGTCAAGTGTTTACTTGGATAACTTTGGTTTTTGTACATTTGACCTACTTCCAATCAAGCATCTCTGCTGTGATGCATCAGATAAATCCTAACGAGGCTCAGCACAGCAGAAATGACGTTGCAGGGTTTTRCTTGAACAATTTCATCTCCTGTGCTGCATCCTCTTTTAATATCCAACGATTACATGCAGTGTTCGATTTTAAAAGCAACCCCAACAAAAAGTTTAGAGACCCGAGCAGCCGCCTGCTGTGCGCGTAGGCGGTGCTTGGTTCTGCATCCCTGCTGTCCCCCTCGCGCTGTGCGAGCCTCAGCGCGGGCTCCGGGGCACAACTTGCTTCGCTCCCGAGCCCTGGGGGCTCTCTCACGTTGTAGCAGAGGCTCTGGGGCAGCCTGGGGCTTCGCGGGAGGTCCCGTCCTGCCCCAGCACCACGGTGAGGGTCGCGCTGCTGAGCGAGCCCGGTCCTGGGAAGCGCCTCTCCCCTTGGGCACTGGGAYGGGGACAGGCTCCTAGCTTGGAGAGGAGCTAGCCCTGCGTTTCTACCAGTGCAGATTGCTCGTGAGAAAACAGTTTTCTCCCACGGAATTGGAGTATTTTCATGCCTTACAGTTGCATGCAAATGGTGGAGGAAGTTTTTGCAGCAAAGCAGCTTTGCTGTCGGTCTTTTTTTATATGCATCAGTCAGAGTGATGTCAGTGTGACAGGTTTGGTGTGAGGCACTGGCTAACAAAATATGTTCTCTATTTATGTCTTCAGTGGTCCAAACGTGCTGTATGTTAATTTTAAAATGACCATACACAGTTACTCTGAACAGGCATTCATGCTGTATCCTGATAAGAGATCTAGCTAGGCACATTTTCTAAGTTGGTTTCAACAAATAAATGAACSTTCTTAAAGTCTCTGTGCCTTTAAGCAATACAGTACATCTATTCATGGCTTGCAAAGAAATCCTACTGATTTCAAGAAGTGAGTGTTTAAAATGAGTGTAAGGAGACAACCAGCAGCATGTGTTTAACTCCTGAAAATGCAGGCTGTTATTTCCCTGTACAATATTCTCTAACTTCTGTCAGTAATTTTTTTTTTTAATTTAAAATCAAGGCATCGGAGCAAAAACCATCACAATTTCACTACTAAATCCTTTACAGTTCATTATTGCAGACAGCTGTGGATTAAAAATCACTAAAAAGACTTCTCTGAGCCATACCTGTAAAAGTAAACTATTTTAGCAGGAAAATCAGCATTGCTTTTAGAAGAGCATCAGTCCCCGAGAGCACACAGTATCTTACCTGAAAGCTCTGAGTTTACCTGCAGAAAATATTTCTTCTCAGTGATGCAAAGTAGGCAAGCTTCTCCCCAGCAATAACGTTATTCCAAAAGAAGGAGTAATAAGTCCTTGATGTTGTAATTTTCCCTGTTTACGTGCAAGAAGTGAACTGGATCTGCTCACGTAGGAATGAATAAATAAAAGAAGCAGTGCAAACTGAGCAGCAGCTACCATAGGAAAGTAAAAGACCTCTAGTGGCCATAACCCGAAGTTAGGGAGCTGGCTCTCCCTGAGCTGTAGACAAAATGGTTGGGTAAAACAAACCGCAGCTGCTCCTTCAGTGTCGGGTGACCTTGGGGCTTTAGTGATGCGAAGGAGATGGGAAGTGACTCAGAGTTACAGGGAGAATCTGCCCGTTAAAGCACGGGACAAGATGGAATTAACTTGCCCTGTTTTTGGGAAAGGCGCTCCGATCGCTTCCAAACCATTAAAATACCAAATTTCATGTAAATSTAGAAAAAATAGTTCCATATTCCCTTACTTAAAGAAAATGAATGTGTTTAAAGCAGGTTCCCTTAAAAAGGGTAATTTAAAATTTATAGAGTAAAGTTAATATCAAAGTAAAAGGTTTCAATAGGTGGAAAACTTAAAGGAAAATTCTAACCATTACAGCTCATTGTTGTAGTCCGAGAGATCAAAATGTCTTTTTCACACTCAGTAAATTGCAATAAAAACCTGCTTTTCATCTTGAAACATTTCTGCTTCAGGGATTAAGAAAAATAAAATATTTTCTTTTGAGAATCTTGGAGAAAAGTTGGAGTGGTGAAAGCAATAGTTTTATTCTATAGAAATTTTAGGAAGTTCTGTAATGGATATTCAAAAATCTGGAGAATGTATATCCTTCCCTGCAGTGTTTTTTCTTGTGCAATTCTGTAGACTGTTGTGGGCCTAAGTTTTAAATCTTGGTAATATTTTAGTTTGTATGAATTCCTGATGGAAAAGTCCCAAGTAACGTAATGCTTATTTTAGGAGTCTAAAACTAATACTGAGTTTTGTTAAAATTGAATTTTCATGCAGTGTGTGTTTGCAGGTGGTATTTCATAAATGGCTCCACTTTCTCACCAGAGCCTATTCCTTCCTGGAGCAACTTTTGTGTTGTCCTTTTTTAAGTTCTTACAGTATTTCTGCCATAGGGGCTGGCAAAAATCTGGTGTTTTGTTAATATAGCAATTCGTTTTAGTAACGTAAAAGGATTTACTAGGCATTTAGTATAGTTCCYCGTTAGAATTAATACAGTTCATTGTTTGAAATAATCTAGATGTGTGTTATCTTTCTGTTGATGTCTTTTTGTTTATTTTATTTTATTTTCTTTTATTATTTTTTAATAGAGTCATTTTGTGGCCTGCATGACCGCGATCTTAAGTCAGATGAACAACCAACATTACTCAGTTTATATTGAAACTTTTCAGACAAGTTCCGAACTAGTGGTGAGTATAAAACTAATCAGGGAGTTGATGCAGTAATTCTATTTCTCAGCTTTTTATTACCTGTGAAAAATCAGCAGTACTGTTTTGAATTGCCTCSTCTGGTTCTTCCTGAAGTCTGCATCTGCACATTTTGTGTTTCTGGGTCATTGCGTTGTCCCACTCTTTTGGTGGCTTGGATAGTGCTGCAGTCCAGACTTTGGAGAGGTGTAAATGTCACCCTTGTTAACTCCAGTACTGAAGTGGATAATTTAATAATCCTAGATATTAGGATCCTTGTATTATATTGTCMTGAAAAACTCAACTAACCAACCCACCATTCCTCTTTCTGCACATCCTTGTCCATTTCCACTTTTTAATTTCAATAGCAAGTCTATTTCTAGCCAAGGTGATGTTGTGTGCTAAGTGCAGTGAATCCCTTATTCTCACAGTGCCAGTTGTTCCTACAGTAAATTAATGATACCTAAGGAATAATCTTTATTGCAGTGGTCACTCTCTTGTGGACAGTTTTAGTAGACTTTTGTCTGTCTCTTTATTTACACTCCTGGCACAACTCTGATTTCAGTCTGGCTGCTGGCGCAAGCTGCAGTTGCACCATTTAAAGTTTCTCTGCAGAGGTAATATTTTGATTTGGCAGATATTCATCCCTTTCCTTAGAGTTATCCCATAGCTGAAATGCCAGCAGATCCAACCTTGGATGCTCTTTGCAATTCTTCAAATGCTTTAGTCTACCTATTAACATAAGAGTATTTTAGTATTCAGTATTTAGTATTCAGTATTCTGAATTTAGTATTCAGAGTATTCTGAGCAGCTTGGGTAGTTGGTCCTTAGCTTAGCACTGTATTTAGGCTACATCCAGCAGTTTGAATGAAAACTATCAGTTGTAGTAATCCTTAATTAGAGCACATCTGCACAGCACATTGGAGTGGGGAAAAAAAGCAAAAGAAATTATACCAGCATATTGAATGTTTTTACTTTTTGAGGCAATTGTGTATTTTCATTTTTGTAAGTAGTGTAAGCCTGTGTCAGCGAAKATGATGATTTATTTTCCAGTAAAGCTGTTGAGACTTCTTGTTCATGTGGTTGCCTTTAAGTAATTTGCCACCGAAGAGTGCAGACTTGTGCAGAGAGCGGCTTGTGAGCTTTCACTAATAGATGGTGACACATGAGCTTGGCGGCCTCGCCGAGGTGCTGTGGCCGTGCTCAGAAGTTCAAGGGCAGAACTGCCTATGTGCAGTAGATATGTAAGGGACTTGAACTCTTTTTATTGATTTTATTTGAGTTCATCAGGCAGTGATTGTAACACATTTATAGAGAAAGATAAACTGCTTTGAGGATTTTTTTTGCTGTKTCTTCACTATTTCATTTGGAATACTAAATTTAGACTAAATGGAATAGAAAAGATGTATTTTTCTAATTTGTTTATTCTATGTGTATTGATAGGCGTATCTGCTAAATAATAATTTGACRGTTTTGCTCCAAGTTCCTGTAACTTTTTCTTTCTGTTCATTTATGACTCGTCTTTTTTAGGAGATGAATGGTACTTAGTTTTAATTTTAAGTCTCTTGACTGCAACCCCAATCTTGTGGTGACTGTTATCTGTGGGAATCCTTTCACTGATTTCAGAAGGAACACAATCATAGCCTTTCTCTTAGTCCCTTAATCACACCAGGAGCACCTGAAGTCTGTTTTCTCCCACTGTCTGAAAATAAATTAATGCATTTTCTTATTTTAGGACTTCTTGATGGAAACTTTTATAATGTTCAAAGATCTCATTGGAAAGAATGTTTATCCTGCAGACTGGATGGCAATGAGCATGGTGCAGAACAGGTAAAATGGGACTGAATTTTCKCTATTATAGTGAAAATTAACCTTGTGAGTTTTTCTATTTGCTGGATTTCCTCTGCTTCACACTACCTGTTAGAAATCCTGCTCCTAAATCGTCCTGAGAGGGTTGTAGAGGTGAGAAGAACATTCTCTCTTACATATCTCTTAATTGCATGTTACCTTCAGGGTTGTGTTTCTTCCTGCTTCTAGGATTTTTTTTTGTCAATACGTGGCCATAATGTGAAACATGTCACAATTGTCTGTTTCTGGTTTTCCAGTCATAAAATACTGAAAATGTGTGAATAGAGACTACTTAAAAGTTTACAATATGACTAGTCTTAAGGAAAATACTGCTTTAAGTCAAATCACAGGGTTGAAATGTTAGATGTATTTTGACCTCGATTTTGAGTGGGATGATTTGACCTGAAAATCTTGTTTGTATGTGTTTGTATGTTACATGATTCCAAAGCAAGCTTATTGTTTCACTGGGTGGTATGTGATGATGGCAGTGAGGGCTCAGGTGCTTAAACCTGCATTTCTTGTGCGTGTCCCCTGAGGTTCGTGAGGAAGGAAAGCTGATCCCTCCTCTGAGGAGGGGAGGGATATGTGTGCGTGTGCGCTAATTGGGATGTTAATTTAGAAGAACTTTCCAGTTAAGATGATATTAATGGGTAACAAATGGATAACATCCCATTTCTTTCCCTGTCCAAGCCAGGTTTTGGCCTATAAAGATAAAATATAGTTCACTGAACATTTTTATGCTGCTGCTACTTGCAATTATTTTTTATGTGCCAGTGATTATTCTGAAAAAGGACCAGCTCAGTACTTAAGTAACTTAAAAGTCATCTTTTATGTGGTAATATATCTACCTTTTAATATATATAACCTCTTTGTGCATCGGAGAAACATATCTGCATGATTCACAAGTAGAGGATTTGAATTTCTGTAGAGAAAAACATGTCAATCCTTGCCCAAAACTTTTGGAGTTGGGGTTTCACTGACTAAGTAGCTGTGGTTGCCTCTGTTCTCTGGTGTTAGAAATTTGCTTGTGGTACTGTATGTTTGTTGAAAATTCATCTTAATATCTTGAGTTTTGTGGACTGTTTTGGTGCTAATAGGTTTTATTGCTATCAACTTTACCCTGCATTGGAAGAATCAAATGAAAATACTTCAATAAAAAAGTCAGCATTTAAAAAAAAAAAAAAAAAAAGTATCTGAAAGTGTTGCTATCAACAGGTTGGTTACTTAAATTGCCTTGACATGGTTTATACCTAAGTAAGGAAAACGAGTTGTCTTTCTTTCTTTTGTGCCTTTATTTTAGGCTATAGTATCAAGAGGTGGGAGGGGAATCTGTTATAAGTCATTATAGAAACAATTTATTAGGCAGGAGAGGAGAGGGGGGATGTTAAGAAATAAATAGAGGATTAAATGAGGTTTTTGCATGTGTCTTACTAACTTGCTTTTCTCAACTGGAGAAGTAGCAGGGGAAAACAGAAGGGTGACAGGCCAGGGTTTCTGTAAAACAGTCAGGAGAGATAAAGTAATGGTTCAACACAGCTCTGTTCTTAATTTTACTCAGCTGCCCTGAGTGATAGGCTGCACATCAGCCTTTTTAAGCCCCTAAAGAGACATTTGCTGAAACGACATAAGTAATTTCTGTGAAAAACAGGAGTACCAGACTGCAGGGCACATCTAGTCTGTCGTTAGCCAAGGGCCCYGTGGAGCTGGCGCTGCTTCCCGCAGGCATCCGGCCGTGGAGCATCCCCGAGTCGTCTGGTCCATTTGGGATCCTGCAGGGAAGTGGCCCTTGGATGGGTTTTGCTGGAGRATATTCAGCGGGCCAGAAACCGAACATTAAGTCAAGGCAGAGTGAGAGGAAGAAAAAAGGCTAGTGCTGCAGGTTTGATCCTGTTGGTAGGTCAAAGCTGTTCCTGATTACTCTTGTATGTAAATACAGGTAGTCAGGCAGGGATATATTTTTTCTCAGATGTCTAGTTTTATATAAAAGTGGAAGAAAAAAGAGAGAATGACTTCTGAGATATAAACTCTGAMCTCTTTAATTTTGCCCTGAATTGCAATTTGCAATTTTCATCTGCTTCTTTCTGAAAAATAGGTTCTCATAGACCAGTAACTGCATTAACATGCCAGACATAACTGCTTTCAGGGCTGGTTTGACTGATTGTAATCAAAGGGGCTCTAGTTTCTGTGGTTTGTTTCCTTTTCCTTTCTTTTTTCTTTTATCCTATTTAGGAAGAACACAGTATCAATCCCTTTGGCACAGGGCCTCTCTGTTCTGCATTTGCATAATATYGCTGTGCTGAAAACCTTTGCTCTACAGCTGTGTAGTTCATAAGCACTAGCGAAATAAACCTCCCGTGCTGTGATGTCTCTCAGAGCAAATTGCTCTTCCTAAAGCCGTTCAGTTTGAGGGAGGCAGAGGCTGTGTGCCCTGCTCTCCCTGGCCTCAGAGAGCTGTGTTTGTAACTAAGAATCTGAAAAGAGCAGAGAGTTCAGAGCAGAGAACTTCTGTTTTGCCTTCGTTTTAGCATCACAATGGGCTGGATGTTCTTTCTGCCCTCCTTGACAGGGTGCAGAACAATTTGGGAAATAGTAGAGACCTTATTGAAGTCATTAGAATTTAGTATGTTAATATTTTGTGATCTTCCCTGGTAGCTTTAATTATCTCTTGTTCTAATAAAGGTTGCTCACTGCACGCTTCTCACTAGCTGTTACTGCTTGTGCGTGCACTTTGTTCCGCTTGTGGTCCTGATAGACTGTTGGCTATTAGCTTATTAAAAGCAGTAATTCCTAGGTACATGGCATTTGCTTTGCTTTAATACCATATAATCTGCTTATCTCTCAGCTATTCAGAATTTTAATTTAGAGACACACAACTCCTCCTGGGCAATTCCCATACCTCATTGTCGGCATGGGCGGCCTGGGGAGCGAGATTCACGGAGTGAGAGAAACGGTTCGTGGGCTTGCAGCCTCAGGGAAGGTTTCACATCCTTTCCTTCCATTCCTCTGGACTGTGAAGCAGTAAKTCCTCTAGGATAGGCTGGAAGTAGCCAATTTTATCATAAAGAGTCAGTTTTGGACTACTGGTTRTGGTCCAGTCTAATGTAGTTTGGTAACCATCTGTCCATGAGAATAGCTTTTTGAACTGTGTTTGCAGTGCCCTTAAGTATTTATAGGGRTAAGAACAAGCAGGCTTTTTTTACCAGTATATGTTAAAGTTGAACCCTCTTTGCTSGAAAACTTAACAGTGATAACACTGTAAGGAATTTTCTAACACCAGCAGTAAGACTTTATAAAGTATCTTTTCCTTTTCTTTTATGTGCATGTTTTCAGACACCTGTCTGAGTCAACAGTTTCCCAGCCCTTTTGAAGTCCAACTTGACATGCTTAGCGCTGCAGGTATTCCACAAAACACCTGAAAATATTCCAGTTTTCTTCTGTTATATACCCTAAAAATAGCTGCTTGCTGATGAACTGCTTTGTAACACCCTTAAGCCCAGGTTCTCAAGTAGCTCATGTRTTGCAGCAGTGCTAATTGAGCCCCATCTCATTATGGCTTGAAGTCAGTGCCACCTGTATCCCCCACATGTGTTTGTCAGGCTGCCAGGCAGCCTGGGTGCTGCTGGTGTCACCAGCTCCTGGCCAGGCAGCCGAGCGAGGCAGGAGGGCTTCATCTGTCATCCGTGACAGGGAAACATTTTCAGACAGATCGGTGGGGGTTTCAAGCCTGGTTTTTTTCCTCTTTGAATGACTCTGTTAAACTGGATTGCTGAGGAGCAGATATTCCATGTTCTACACATGTGTGATTTTGAACATCTCTACCTTTGCATAGAGGAGAAAAAAAAAAAAAAAATCTAATCAGTGAAAGACATAGCTGCTTAAAGTGTTGTCCTTTGAATCACAAAGCACTGCATTATAAGGAGGTGTCATTTATAAAGCCGCAAGCCCAAACTTTCATTAGCTAGGACATATTACAAATTTAGTGTCTGTTAGACTATGTGTGTTGTTTTTAATTTTGCTGAGAGAAAACCTGAGCAGCAGTTGTCACAATTTTAAACATGTTATTCAGGGATGGTGTTTATAATGGCTTGAGAGGGAAGGGTTATTGAACAGTGGTGGCAATAAGTAGAGAAATGGGACTCTTCAGTGTTAGTGGGAGAGGTATTACAGACTATTTATTGTTGCTATCAACTTAGTGTATTTTATAAAAAGAAAACCTCAAATATTAGAACTTATCAGTCTTCCATTGATGTTTTAGAGGAACTGAGAGATCACCTTTTCATCATTTAGAAGTATTTGGTTCTGTGCTCTACRGAAAAAATGTATGCATTATTATTTTTTTTAACTTGCAGAGAATGCAAGGGCAAATTTATTTATTTATTGTGAAAGGCAAATATAGGTATAATTTGGGTTGGTTTTATTTTTTAAYGGTATGTTAGGATTTAAGATTTTGTAACTAAGGAAGGATTATGAAGGTGGTGTAGAAGATTTTACACTGATTGACAAGGACAGAATGTCAGAGGCCAGGCTATCATATTATAAATATKGTTTTCTTTGTTCTCATTTCCCTCCAGAAACTGTCCAGAACAGAGTTGACAGAATTCACTTGTTTATAAGGGCTTGAAGTTTTAAGGAATCAAAATGTCTTCACGCATAGATTATGACATATTGAAGAACTTGGTTAATTTAAGTATTTTAAGTAAGAAGCATGAATTTTTACTTAGTGTACTTCTGTATGTGTACATGCACAAAAATTAAGTATTTTAACAAATTCAGACACTTTGCACTGTTCAGTCATCACTTTAATCAGGTACATTAATAAGATGTGTACTTGGCTTTTTTCTTTTTTTCCATGATACTAAAAATGTTCTTGCTGAAATACCTTTTTCTCTATTAACATAAAAGCTCTTTTGGAGACAAAGCATTTTTTGTAATTATTGTTCTTTGGTTCAGTATCTCTAGATGCTCCCATTTGTATCTTTTCA